GTGGATTTCCCACTGCCTTGGAATTCCCACTCTCGTGAGATTCCCTCCTTTCGGAATTCCCTCCCACCCCCTGGCATTCCCTCCCTTTGGAATTCGCCCCCCACCCCGCGCTTGGAAGTTCGTGACTCCCCCTGCTCCCAGTCCAGCTGGGATTTGGAGTGGCTGCTGAGGCTCACTCCAGGCTTTCCCAGTTCCCCCATTTTCTGTGGCACACCCATCCCGTTGTTTCCCCCCTTCCTGCCGCAGCTACAACCCGGACCTGGACTCGGATCCCTTCGGGGAGGACGGGAGCCTCTGGTCCTTCAACTACTTCTTCTACAACAAGAGGCTGAAGAGGATCGTGTTCTTCACCTGCCGCTCCATCAGGTGAGGCCTCCCCGGCGTTCCCGAGGGCATCCCCCCCGGAATTCCGGCCGGGAGCTGAGGCCCTGCCGCCCTTCCCCCCGCAGTGGCTACGCCTACACCCGGCCGGACACCGGGAATGAGCTGGACATGGACCTGGGCGAGGGGGACACGGAGAAGGGCGACAGCGGGGACCACGAGGGAGGAGGCATCGAGGGGGACAGGTGGGTGTGGGGTCACAGGGGGGGTTATGGGGGGGTCACGGGGGGGCAGGTGACCCCCCTGACCCGCCTGCCCTCCGTTCCAGGTTGCAGGTGATGTGCATGTGAGATTCCAGCCCGGATCCGAGAGGCCACCGTGGTGGTGGCACCAGGAACGGACCTGGGGACAGAACCAGTAATAGGACTGAGCATGGACTGGGAACCAAACCAGCATCAGAACCGGGTCTGGGACCGGGACAGGAACCGGGAACGGAACCAGCACCGGAACCGGCTCTGGAACCAGCGATGAACTGGGAATGGAACCGGGAACGGGCCTGTTCCTGGCAGGAACAGAACTGGGAGCAGGGCAGGGAGTGGGACCGGCCCCACAGCAGGAACAGGACTGGGAAGAGACTGGGATTGGCCTCAAAGCAGGAACAGATCCAGGAAAGGGAGCAGGAACGGCCCCAAAGCAGGAACAGACCCGGGATGGGATCCAGCCCCGCTCCCCCATCCCGGCACTGCCGTGTCCCCCCGAACTGGGCCCTTTATCCCCCCCGGTGTGTCCCGGCCCCCCCGGACACTGGAGCCCCCCGGGCACCCGGAGCCCCCACCGGAGCCGCCCAAACCGGGACCCTCCGGCCCCCCGGGAGCTCCGGGAAGCTTTGCTGCACTTTATGGCTCCTCGGCTGCACTGACCCCCCAATTCCCCCTTTTCCGGACTGCTGACCCCCCATCCGTCCATCCTGCCACTGCCTGGGGGACCCTCCAGCCCCCCCAAAGCTGCCCCACCTTCCCCCCTCCCCCCCCCC